AAACACGATTTCCGCGAGCCAAACGAATTCCGTACGCGTTAAACGCTACACACAACTTCGTAAACGTATTCTCGCTGAATTTAATTTGGCGCTCTCGTGTTCTCAATCGAGAGAGAGAGAAAGAGGGAAGGAGGGAGAGAATCGCCGAAAAATTACTTTTAGTTCGTCTAGCAACGACGGTTCTAGATTTGCATAAATGTGAATAGTTTAGGAAAAATGAATATCGATTGTTACAGGATTTATTAAAACCTGTTAAAAATTTATGAATTTTAAAATTTATAAAAGTATTTTTTTTTTTTTTGCAAAGCGTTGTAATCGACAACAAACAAGGAATAAATGATGCAAAAAGAAAGGGGAAACTATTCAGAGATACTTAATTCACGATTAGATCGAGACGAGTCGCTTCTTGAATATGAATTTCAATTCATTAAAAGCATTTTCAGCATTTTGGTGTCGAGGAAGATTTTAAAAGGGAAACGATCCCAAAATCAAACCTTCGCTCTAAAAACACAAGCATTCTCGCCATTCCCCTATATAAAAGGTTTTAATATCGCCTAGAACACGAGCATCGCCGTTTCTCCAACGAGCGCATCGTGTGGGACGTTACTCGACGTAAAACCTGAAACTTTCTCTTAATAACTCGTAACATAAATACAGAGGGCGGCCTCTGCCAGGTTCGGATAGAGTGAAAACTGCCGCGTACCGGCCTGTAAGAAGAGCGTAATTTACACCCCCGTGGAAAAGCGGCCGCGCTGCTTAACACCGTCCCTTTTTTTTTCCTCTCTCTCTCTCTCTCCCCCTCCCCCTTCCCCCTTTCTCACTCTTCTTCTCCCGTCGCGCGCGGCAAATTTATTCCAAAATATCCGGTGAATTATTTTCTCTTAAGCCCGTTTCCCGTTGGAAATTAGAATGAAGTTACCGGGAGAAACTTCTCGACTCTCATCCCCCTTATAACGCACGCGTTTATATTTCGACCCTCCCTCGGTTTCCCCGACACTCCCGTTCATTTCGTTGGAAACTGGTTGGCTAATAGAAACATTGCTTTCCCGTCAATGTAATCGTTTATATAATACTTCAATGCATCGCAATCAAAATTGTAATAAATTGCTTCGAAATACTCGATTATGCAATCGATGTCGCTTGTGTAGTATTTATCTGTCAATGATATTTCCTTTCCAAATTTTGCGTTTTATTAAGCCTTTGTACTCGTATTTATATTTAAAAAGTTACCAATCAAGGTAACAAGAGTAATAATGTAATAAATGTATTAATGTAAATATATGTATAATAATAAAATGTAGAATAGCGACTATAAAAAAAACGAGTTAAAATGATAGTAAAATCTAGGGAAAAATGTTGCACGGGGGGAGGAATTGACGCGTCCAAATTTTGGGTCTTATTAATCCTTTGCAGTCGTATTTATATTTAAGAAGATTATCAATCAAGATGACAAGAGTAATACTAATATAAATATATGTATAATAATAAAATGTAGTATGGCAATTATACGAGTTAAAAATGATAAAATCTAGGGGAAAATGTTGCACAAGGAGAGGAATCGACGCGTCCAAATTTTGCTTGCGTTTTATTAATCCTTTGCATTCGTATTTATATTTATTTAAGAAGGTTATCAATCAAGATGACAAGAGTAATACTAATATAAATATATGTATAATAATAAAATGTAGTATGGCAATTATACGAGTTAAAAATGATAAAATCTAGGGGAAAATGTTGCACAAGGGAAGGAATTGACGCGTCCAAATTTTGGGTCTTATTAATCCTTTGCATTCGTATTTATATTTAAGAAGGTTATCAATCAAGATGATAAGAGTAATACTAATATAAATATATGTATAATATGTATAAAATATAGGATGGCAACTACATGAGTTAAAAATGATAGTAAAATCTAGAGAAAAATATTGCACTCGTGTTTATATTTAAAAAGTTACCAATCAAGGTAACAAGAGTCTCTAGTAATATCATGTAATTATAAAATGTAGGATGGCGACTATACGAATTAAAAATGATAACAAAATCTAGAGAAAAATGTTGCACGAGAGGAGGAATCGACGTGTCTAAATTTTGCTCACGTCTTATTAATCTTTTGCATTCCTATTTATATTTAAAAAGTTACTAATCAAGATAACAAGAGTCCCTAGTAATATTATGCATAATAATAAAATATAGGATGGCGATTATACAGCGACATACGAGTTAAAAATGATAATAAAATCTAGGGAAAAATGTTGCACGAGAGGAGGAATCGACGTGTCTAAATTTTGCTCACGTCTTATTAATTTTTTGCATTCCTATTTATATTTAAAAAAGTTACTAATCAAGATAACAAGAGTAATACTAATGTAAATATATGTATAATAATAAAATGTAGAATGACGACTACACGAATTAAAAATGATAATAAAATCTAGGGGAAAATGTTGCATGAAGGGAGGAATCGACACGTTTAAATTTTGCCCGCGTCTTATTAACCTTTGCACTCGTATTTATATTTAAAAAAGTTACTAATCAAGGTAACAAGAATCCCTAGTAATATTATGTATAATAATAAAATGTAGGATGGCGATTATACAGCGATATACGAGTTAAAAGTGATAGTAAAATTTAGGGAAAAATATTGCACTCATATTTATATTTAAAAAGTTACCAATCAAAGTAACAAGAGTCTCTAGTAATATCATGTATTAATAAAATGTAGAATGGCAAGTACGAGTTAAAAATGATAATAAAATCTAGAGAAAAATATTGCATGAGAGGAGGAATTGACGTGTCTAAATTTTGCTCGCGTCTTATTAACCTTTGCACTCGTTTATATTTAAGAAGGTTAAATACTAATGTAAATATATGTATAATAATAAAATGTAGGATGGCGACTACACGAGTTAAAAATGATAGTAAAATCTAGGGGAAAATGTTGCACGAGGGGAGGAATCGACGCGTCCAAATTCGTAGGCTCGTCTAACGGCTCGTTTCTCATCGAAAAATTTCCGAGAGGGAAACGTTGGCGGGTAATCCCCCGCGGGAGGAGAGGACGAGGAGATAATAGAAGGTTGTTCGGGAAGAAGCAGCTGGAACAGAGAGGACCGGCTGTCCGCTCGATTCGCCGCTTAAAGATGACGATTCCATTCGATCGGAACGACTTTTTCACCGTCGTGGTGAGCGTCGAAGAAACGTGAGCGATCCTTCTCCCCCCTCCATGCTCTGTCCTCGTCTTTCCGTGTCGCGTTTGCGTCACCCGGTGAAGTTGAAGGGAAAATGGAAATTCGAGGGAAGGTGGGAAGGGGGTGGAAGGGAGGAACGACGAGAGAGATAAGTTCGAAGTTCCAGTTGGAAAGGTGGGAAATACTTAAAATTTACACGTCGATCGCCGTTTTCGTTTTGTTCTGCTGTCTTCTTATCTATGTACAGTATGTCTGAAAAGCTAAAGCTTTTTCTTTTTCTTTTTTTTTTTTTTTTTTCCGTTTCTTCGGAAATGTCATCTGTCGATCGTTTTATATTAACGTACATTTATCAATATTTCATAGATACATGTCTATAGAAATAGGAACAGTATACGAAATTTATTGAATGTATCTGTAGAATTTTCAAGATATAAAATGCTATGGTAAGAATAAACTTGAGAATATCATGGTTAAAATATCAGATAAAAAATATTTTAAGAAATATTTTAAGTATTTATTTCTTTATAGATTTATACTCTTTTTTATAAATAATTATTATTATTTCTTTCACTGTGATTTCTTAGTGTTCTTTATAATATATAAAAATTTTAATTAACAAATACATGAAATTTATGTAAAGTATTAATTTATTCGTGAAAGATTTTGTAGATTATTTATTCCAGAGGCTAAAATAAATATAAAAATATATAAAAAGTTGAAGCTTATTTGTTAAGTTATAATTTAGATTTACGTTAGATAAAGCGAGATAGAGACAGAATGACATATCGCGCCACAGTACGGCGAGAAAGTGTAACCAAATTATAAGTTGTCTCACTCTACTCCTGTCTCATTCTATGCAAAATTCAATTGCTTAATAAATAAGCCTCAATCGACATTTTTATACATCAACTTTTGTGTTTGTTTTACCATCTAAAATCAATTCACCATCAATATATTAAATATATCAATATATCAATTCATAATTCTGCATAATCTTTTTGATTATGTAAATTTCAAGAATTACATACAATTTTAAACGTTCAAAATTTAAAAATTGCATATTTATTAATAAACCATATCCATGAAATTTGATTTAATGATCGGATAATGAATACCATTTGCGTTTTAACAAATCATTTTTCTTGCAAATCAACTTTCTCGAATTATATCAACCAAAGAAACGGACGATTTTCACGAACACGATAAGCTTTCGATTTTATGCGTTATCAATCCCATTATTTTTCAAACATACTGTATATCCCATACCGGTCGAGCGTCTAAAGGGAAAATAGTGGATGTGTTTCTTGCGACTACGAGCGTAAACGCGTGTTACGTTCACGATTTCATGGAGGCATTGAGAATAACAAATGGAGGGATACCTTCTCGCGGAGCAAGAACGCGAAATCCGCTTAAAAAAGTTGAGACCCATTCCATCGGCATTGTGACTGGCCGTTTTGTTGTTGCGAAGCGAGCGTTTTAGATTATACGTTGTCGGGTGATTTATGGCACGATTGTTGGGATCGCTTGTTTGAGATATTTTGAGGAGTCGAAATGAAATGACGATACGATCCAATCGAACGTTTTATAGAAATGATGGCCGCTAGATGAAAAATTAGATAAGAATGGATGATATAAAACAATGTATCTATTTTGGGATCTGTTTTCTGCTACGACATAGATATGGTCTTTTGAAATGTATTAATTGAAAATTATATGCTTGAAATTCAAGTTTGATATAATTGTGTATAATTATATATATCCAAGTGATTAAGGAATTTTACCTTAAATTTTTTTCTTTTAATTTATTTGTTTCAGGGCCTTGGATGAAATTATGATCTTTCGACTGTAATGGAGTTTTAGAGAAGATTGAACAATACTTAATATTTGTGGAAAAATTAACTCAGGTAATTATATATATATTTTTTAATTATACTAGATTAGCGAATATTATTTCTTCTAAATAAAAATAAAATTACCAATAATAAAATCTATAAATCTATCATAAAATCTGTCATAAAATTATTCAAAATTGTTCCTTCGAAAATTGGTATTCTATATTTATATAGAAAATGATGATTATCTATTACAATTTAATTTTATAAAAAAAAATAAATTTATCTGTGTAAATTTATCTGTTCAAAATTTCTTTGAAAATTGGTATTCAATATTTATATAGAAAGTGACGATTATCTATTACAATTTAATTTTATAAAAAAAAATAAATTTATCTGTGAATAAGAAGATGATATATCATAAATCAAATTCAGACAAGGATTTACATCGTATCGAAGGAAAAATATTTCTATTCGATTTCAACTTGCTCTTAGCGTGGGAGCGCAGCATCATCATCTTGCTTGAAATCCAAAAGAAGTAAGGTTCACCAAGGTGTTTTATTTAATCTTGTTGGGAGTGTATTTTCACGAGTGGCTCGCAAAAAACAACGGAGGATGTACGTGGTTGCATCGAGAATCGTGGAAGCGAAAACAGGAAAAGGAGAAACGTAATTGAACGATCGGCTATTCGCAGAGTGATAATAAGTTTTCTCCTCGGGAGACGAGACTTACGTCGCCTCCTCTTGTTCCGCCTTGTTATTTGCGACTTCGTGAAGTGGTTAATCGCCGCTTTCTAATTCGAATACCGTCTTTTCGCAAATTGTCGCGAGACGTTTCGAAGCGATTCATTCTCGCATCTTTCCAATGTAATTCGTTTCGTAATCGGTAATTTTAATACCAATAAAATTTAAAATTCAATGATTTCATCCTCCGAACCTTCGTCACGAAACTTAATTTATACGACTTTGTATGCAACTATAATGATTAATAATTTTTCTTTCGCGTTAAATTATACACATTTTTTCCCCCTCCTCCTCTTTATCTCATAAACCGTTCCTGAATTATGACACGTATCATGGCAACCAACAACCATGCTCGCACACTACATTCCCTTATCGCGATCCTTGCTACCCGGCTCCCCCGGAGCCAGCAATTTTCGTATCAGGAAGACACGGGTTTGCTTCCCACGGGCGGATTTCGATGACGGGAGCAACGCTGGCCGCAATAGAGATGACGATGACGATGGTGTAGTAGCTCGAGCACGCCGCCAGTAGGCGGAAGTAGGCTTGACCCACTTCGATCGTGGCAACAAAGAAAAAAAAAAAAAAAAAAAGAAAATGAGAAAGAAAAGGAAAGAAGTCCCCGGGGTCATGAGCCGCGGACGCGAGGAATTAAAACTTGTTCCTGTCGGTTGCCTTACCAGGCGCGCCATGCCTGCCAACAAAAGTCACGTGTGTGCCTACTGCGTGATTCCTCCTCCCCCTCCTCCCCTTCTTATTCCCCCTCCCCTCCCCTCTCCTCGCCACGTTGCTCGTGTTTCTTGCGGCTTTAAATCACGTCTGCATTCAATTTTCCTGCTTCCTCGAAGACACGGCCGACGAGGCTTTTTCAGTCATTTAAATGGCTGGCGTGGAAAAGCCCGTGTTATCGAGATTCTGTTTCGTATAACCAATGGATAATGGTGGTGTTTTTTTTTTCTTTTTGAATTTTGAAGTTCTTCGATTTGACGTTTATTTACGAGATCTTTAAGTAATATATTGTAGTAAATATATTGTGTAGTAAATATATTGGTATTGGTTACAACAACAATCAATGGTTCCAGAAGATTATTCTAATCGTAAAGTTATTTTATTCTTCTATTCGAAAATAGGAGACAAAATTTTTTTTTTTTTTTTTGTTCAAAGCCTCGTTTTCTATAAAATCAAGTTTGGAAGTTCGTCGAGTACACGTGCACTTGGCTAGCTACCAACTGAAGGAAGATTACAAAACCGGGCAGCGGGCTTGTTCTACAAACAAAAATAAGCTGAATAAAAGCTGAACACAGCTTTTTTCCCCCAATTTTCTTTTTTCCAGTATTTCATTTTTGAAAAAAATGGAATTTGAAGGGAACATCGCATCGAAAATCACAATGCAAGCAATTCAGGTTGGAGGTTAGTCTAGTGCACGTGTACTCGATGAATTTTTAAATCCCTTATCTTCTTTCGAGCAGAATCTTGTAATACATTGGTTCTTTTTTTTTTGTATTGTTATTGTATTGATTATTATTTTTTTTCCTCGGTTAAAATTGTATTATGCTGTTAAAGGAATATTAAAAAAAAGTAAAAAGAATAAATTTAAAAGAAAAAGAAAGTCTTTAAATCTAGCCGTTAATGAGAAGAAAAGTCAATATTGTTCAGATAAAAAATAGAAATTATAGAGACTCGTTTGATAAGCTCCCTCGTCCACCATATTGGATTTTGTAATTTAAACGATAGAAGGTTATTTTCATCAAATTTCTCGATGGCGCGTAAAGATTAATGGAGATGATTGATAGAGATAGACACTTAATATCGCCATTAACTAGCTTAAACGAGAAAGTGAGGTTTATTACTTTTCATATTTTTAAAATGAATATTTTATGTAATTATGCATAGTTATATATATTATATATCACGTATATTATGCAACATAGAATGACATGAATTGTAAGCACAAAATCTAATAAAATATTATTTATATATTTTTATTATTTTAATATATTGGAAATTATAATCTTATGCTAATTTTAATTTTAATAATTATGTATTTTAAAAAGATATTTTAAATACGAATATTTTGTTAAAATATCAAAAATTATCAAATATAATTTGCTTTAGTGTTTAAGTTTGACATCAAAAAAATTTAATTAATTTAAAAGATTAATTATATTTAAAAACCATTAAAAATATACTCATCAAGAGAATGATATATTTAAATCTTGTTATTTTTTTTTCGGTTTCTTTCACGATTACACGCAGACCGAGCAAAGTTAATTTTCGTCTTTGATGAAACATTTACATTTCATGTTTAATTTTATTTAGATGTTTCAGTTTCTTGCTAAACATTTCAATGATTTAAAGCTTCCGTTTAAATCGTATTACTTTTAACCTTTTGCTTTCAAGAATTTTTCCGCGATTCCAAAGACATATAAATTTTCACTTTTTAAATAACTTTTACCTTTTCTTTCCTGTAATTAGTTCTTTGCTTATAATTTGTCCCCAACCATTATAAAAATTTCTTCAGAGAAACGAGTAATTAACAATTTATATAGCTTAATAAATCGCTAATAAAAAGATTCTCCATTCCTTACGATCATTGATGATTACTTTCCTTAGTTGAACTTTAGCCACGAATGAATGTACATAAAAATTAACAATTTTAAAAAAACAGAATCTTCTCACAGAAGTATTTTCCGCAGAAAGTATTACAGATTCTCGAGGGATTTTCGAACCACCTTCGAGATCCATCATGCCATTTACATCCAACAGCGTTCGATGAATTATTGAAACAATAGATTCCAAAAAAAAAAAAAAAAGAAAAAAAAGAAAAAGAAAAAATGGAAAGAAGTAAAAAAAAAAGAGAGAAGGAAAATGTGGAACAAGAGTGTCTCGTCGTTTGTTTTCCACGACGTCGCCGGGCAATTAGATTTAGTGCTTCTTGCTCGTACTCCATTTTCTTTTGTCCCTCCATTCTAGAACTCTTCTTTTCTCTCGCATCCTTGTACACGCACACGGATGGAAAGAATGCTCACGCGACCGAACGAAAGGGCGAGCACAGTTTCGTTTATTCCCATTGAAACTTTCCAAGCACATCCCCATTTTGTCTCCTCGCATTCTTTCGCTTCCTTTTTTTTTTTTCTACCCCCTCTCCCTCCTTCCTTCTCTCCTTCCAACGGCATCGCTTTTCGTACGTAACGATGAATCTCGGACTTGTTACCAAGCTACCAAGAGGGCTCTTTAATTTTGCGCTCGAAACACTGTTAATTTTGCGCTCGAAACCTTTGTGCACAAAGAGGGCATTTTCTTTCTTTCTTTTTTTTTTTTTTTTTCGATCTATCTTCTGTATCCGTATCCGTATCCCCTATCAAATGCCTCGATAGCAAAATTTTATTTTATTATTATATAACAACAACGGGGAAAGGGAAAAATTTTTGTTCGAGATCATTCGAGAGATGATAAATATTTCGCAAGTGGAATAAACAATACAACGAGATATATATTTCGAAATAGATATCTTCCCACGTGTGTATTTATTTTCGTAATTGCACACGAGAAATAAGAATCTTAACTCCTTAAGACTTGATCAAATAATCCATTGTTGTGAGAGTACTTAACAATTTGACCTATTCATGCCGCGAAATGTTGAAAGAAAGATCAATACGATTGAAACGCATCTTATTATCACGAGCAATGACACGACAATAACCTATTAATAATAACTTAGTTATAATTCACTGGGAGAGAAACAAGATAACAATGGTATCTCGGCACTTCTAAATCAGCTTTCATAAAATCTCATCATTGAATATCGATGCTAAATTAAATGTACAGACTGTTTCACGCTGATTGATCATAATTTTTTTTCTTTTTTTTTTCCCTTGTTGAATCGCACGAATTAAAATCAAACTTTGAAACTAATCAATTTTCTATATAAATGCGCGAAGAATTTTTTATAGAGAGAATATATATATATATATATATATATATATATATATAAAATGGAGATGATTCATGCAATCTTCGAAACTTCTCCACTTTCACACGAATTGCATCATTCGAGACTAATTGAATTTTCGTCCCATGAAATTTTATTCCATCTTCCACCGCTTAAGAGCCATGACCCAATTACGATGGAACACCCTATATGTATACCAGCTATCTACGCCGGACGATCAACTGTAACGCGATTACACACTACTAAGCAGAATCTAAGCGTGAAGAATTCACAGGATCTTTAACGCTGTATCGGTGATGGGGATCGATGTAATAAATTAAATTAAAACCAGACACTACGGGATTCACGCCCATGCCACGCCCCCGTGTCACGGGACGCTA